GGCTTAAAATGGTTAAGTATTTAATTAGCGTAAGAGGCTGCAGGTTGATGATTCAAACCTGGCTCAGCTGGGTGTGTTCTTGTGGTTGGGGGTTAGCTGGTTATTGGCCAATGTAGGCTATCCTTGGAGGGGATGGCTGGAGGGACTTAGCTCTGCCCTGCCGTCTCTAATTCTTCAGTTGGCTAGCTGGGGCATGGCATTCTTTGGACAATGCAGAGGTGCCAAAGTGGAAGGGCAATCTTCAAGGGCTCTCAAGGTAGGTGGTGGGATACAGGCTCTGCTTCTTTGATGGGAGGGATGGTAAAATCACACTTCAAAGGGTAGAAATCGGGGCTACTAATGCAACCAACGTATCACAATGTGCTTCAGCCCCACACTTTCTAAATCTCTGGGGATCAGGACATTTGTATTTTTAACCAGGAAATGTTCTCATGCTCAGTGAAGTTTGAAAACAATTGAACCTAACCAAAGAGCAGCAGAAGGTAAGATTATTGGCTCCCTTGTGGGCTTTACCCCAAATACAGTGGGGCCTTGACTTACGAGTGTCCCAACTAACTAGTTTTTTGAGATACCAGCTGTCTCTCCGCCGATTTTTTGTATTGAATTGATAGAGTAATTTGAGCTAACGAGCTCCTTAACGAGCTCCTTAACGAGCTCGGTCTTGGAACGAATTAAACTCGTAAGTCAAGGCCCCACTGTACTCCTCACTCTGCAGGCTTTCCCTTTCCTCATATCCAGGAGAACTGAGTCACAGCATGTGCACTGTGACTCCTGTGGAGAGGGGGGTGAATAATCCATTTGACTGGGACCTCGGTGAAGGTCTTAAGAACTTGGTTGGCAGCCCTGGCAGGCTGGGTGAGACTTCAGGAGAAGGAGGCAGGGGAGTGGGAAGAGCAGAAGCTCAGAGGCAGCAGAGCTAAAAGGATGTTGGGGTATGGTGTGGTCTGTGGGAGAGAAGCCTGGAAAAGTAAACCAGCTGGGAAATGAGGAAGTCAGTGGTTAGCTTATGTCTGGTCCTATTTTGGGGAAGTCTGACAATGAAATCAGTGTAGAGGATGGAAAACAAGTGCCAAGGACTAAAATAGGGCTTCTGCTTCCAAAACCGGGCCTCATGTCCATGAGGATCTTTCCTGCGAAACTGTTGTTGAACCAGCATGCCTTGGGGGACAGAGTCTTAAAGAAATGAAGCATTGTTTTGTCCCTCACTGTTTTGTGAAGTACAGTTGGTGAGACTCGTTCTTCCTCTGTCTTGGTGGCTGATCCAGGTGTACTGCATGACTGCTGCAGTCACTCTTGGCTCCTGCAGGGTCCTCTGGTTAGTATCTCAATGTCTATTTCCTGTGTAGGGGTCAAACTTTGAAGTTGGTTGAGTGTGATGCATTTTCCATTATGCATCTTCCATTTAGCCAGCTAAAGGCTGCTGAAGACGACAAAACCTGAGGTCAGGAAAAGAACGTGGCTGCCAATTTCTTGCTTCCTGTGACTCCAGTGTCTACTCTCACTACTCCAACTTGTTAATGACAGTTTAAGTCTAGGATGTAGAGGGAGGGACAGGTAAGGGGTGCAGGTAAGGGGAGCATCTCACTTGGCTGGTACTGGTATGAACTGGCTGGTCTTCTTTCTGACTCTTCCTCTTAGGTTGGGTTCAAAGAAGTGAGAAGAAGCTGGAAGGGGAAGGAGTGGGTTTCAGAGCTGGGAGCCGAACCCTTGTACTGTGACCTTGGCTCAGCTGCCACTTGTTAGGAGAGTAGAACGTGTGCTTGTGAAAGGACTCATGGCTCCAGGGTGTATAGTGTGAACCTTATTCTTTACTGTCTCCCCCCCCCCCCCCAAAGTGTCCTGTTACATGGGCAGAAGTGGTCAATTTCCAAGCCAGATAGCTCAACATGCTTCTCGTTCAGGAAGCTTTCTTGACTTCTTCATGTCGATTTAGGTGGCTGGGCTCTCTTCGGATCCCTGTGAAGAACTTTCTTGATTATTTTTGTGCTTCCTGCCCCAGACTAGGAAGGCAGGTTTGGGACCTTCTTGTTCCTTGTTGTGCATCTAAGGCCTACATCCACCCTGGCGCATAGTAGAGCTCAGTGACTGTTTGTAGATCTCAGTGACTGTAGGTGAGCAACTAGGCCAGCTGGTCCTTCTGCTCTTGCTTTCCTCCTGGCATTGGGGCTCCAGCTTGAGCATGATTACATGGGGCACCTCCCTCACCCAGGAGACTTTCTAGCTTCTTGGGGAGGCACCAGCACGGGTACTGGTAATTGGAGCTCTAATAGCTTTTGGCCTAAGTTAGTGGACCCTCATAGCTTCTCTGATCTGGCTCCTTTTTCTCCCTGAAACGTGGAGAATGAGCTGAGTAAACGTAAAATGTACTCACCAAGACAGCTCAGTATCTAGAATTGCAACATGCCTTGAATCCTTCCAAGTTTTGGCTAGTGTCCCTCTCTGGGCTGCTTCACCCTGATCTCAGTACCAGGCTGTGAACACACACCTTGTGCGGGGCCCTGTGGCTGGAACTCTGTGCAGGGAGGGAAATGGACTGGCTGTTGAGAGCTGGGTGAGCCCAGCAATTTCAGGCATGGGGGAGGGTCTTGGGGGGCATGGTGACTCATCTAGGACAGGCTTCATTGCCCAGGATGCCCTTTCCTTGCGCTAAGCAGAGCAGGGTGCTTTAGCTGGATCACTGCATCTCCCCCCAGGAGGCAGCTAGCAAGGGTGGGAGGTGAGTGACACAGATGAGCTGCAGTGATCCCATAGAAATGGCGAGGAGAGACAGCTCCAAGATAAATCGTGAGATATAAGAGAGTACAGATGTCACTAGACTTGTTGGGGTGAGGGTAGAAGAGGACAGAGCAGAAAGGATTAAGATGAAATCCCAGGGAGGCTCAGAGATGCAGAGATATAGTTATTAAAATCCAAATAACTATATGCAAATAGCTTTGTGGCTTTTTCTTAAATTCATATTTTATTTGAAACTCACCAACTTCTGGTTTTAATTGTTTCATTGGTTATATTTGTCCTTGATGAGAAATTTTGCAAATGAGACTAAATTCCCCACTAATGATATTTCTCAGTTGCTGTGATCATATTTTTTCACTCAGGGTAACAGGAAAGTAGGCTGGTCAGAGTGGTGGTGGCTGTTGGACTTTTCAAAACCTAAGGAATTCAAGAGTGGGAGTGAATGACCTCCATGGGAATGATTGCTGCACGTGTGAGGGCAATGCTTGTTCTTTTGTCTAAGTCCCTTCATTCTTCCCTCCTTTCATTCATCAAACATTTATTGAACATCTACTGTGTACCAGCTGGGATACACAGATAAACAAGACAGATATAGTCCATATCTATGCAGTATAGATACTTTAAGAGCTGAGAACCTGAATTTATTCATTTATTTGTTCAGTAAACACCCATGGAGTGCCTGATATTTGATCCTCTCTGTGCTAGGCATTGGAAATACAAGGGTGAATAAGAGAGATATTGCTTTTGCCTTTGTGCAGGGTATAGTCTGGTGGGGAGAGACGTCAAGAAAAGAAGGTCATAAAATAAAAATATAATTACATAGTTTGAAGGATGCTTAGCGATCCAGTTTGCATGGATATCTTTTTCTCCTTGGCTTCAGTTTCACGAATATGTTCCACCTTGAACTATGGAAACGCACATTTCCATAGAATAATTTGTGTGTGTATGTGTGTGTGTGTGTGTGTGTGTAACAAAGAAAGTGTATATTTCCTTCTTCATCCATTCTTAGGAGGGATCAGCTTCCTGCGAGAAGCACGAAGCTCAAGTTAATGTCCTGTGTCCTTGCTATTCACTCCTCATCACCAAGAAAACCCAGGGGTCAACTGGGGAGCAGATTTAATGTGCTATTGAGATGGGGCCCTTGAAGACTGTGTTGTGGGAAAACCAAACTGGGGGGAGGGAATTGCAGCCCCAGTTGGGGCTTGTGCCCTCAGTGATTTTGGTGGTTTTGTTATATTCCCAGTGGCTCCAGTTCTTGCCTGGAAACCTGAGTTCAGTGCCTGCCGGGACAAGGTTCTGACATCTTATGTCAGAAGGAGGGTAGGAAGAGCCACAAACACCATTTATTTTTCGTGTCTGTGTCACAGTGATCTAACCTGCACATACAAGAGATTTACATACACAGCTCTTCTCAAACACCCAATAGTAACAAATAGAAGCCTCTCAGACACCATGCTCATGCCCACTCCCCATAATCCCAACACACCTTACAAAGCAAGTTTGGAGCCTCAAAGACGTCAGGCACTTACACTTTCTGGCTGTCGGTCTCTCGACAAGCCTCTTCTCCTTTCTTCCTCTGTATACAATGCTGATCTCACAGGATTTTATGAGCATTTAATGACATATGAACCATAAAAATTATTGTATAATCAACAAGCCACTGAACTGATGGCTGTTTTTGGTTACATAAGTAATGGGTCCTTGGCTCTCACTTCTGAAAAAATAGAATGCTTGGGGGATTTGTGGACTTTGTCTTCTAAAGATGTCACAACAGCATCTACCCTGGGCTTCCTCAATGTGACCCCCATGCCCTGCCCCAAGGAGTGTGGCTTATTGCTCCATCCCCTTGGCTCTGGGTTGACCCATGGCTGCTTTGACCAATGACCCATGGCTGCTTTGACCAATGACTTTGACCAGTGACCCTGCGTCAGTGCTGGGTATGGCCCTTAGCCGGCCTGGCAGTTTCTGTCTCCTGCCTCTTGGAGCCAGCTGCCGTGTGAGAAGTGTGACTGTCCTGCGGCTGGCAGAGGATGTGCCCCACAGGGAGACAGAAAGGCCAAGGAGAGAAAGGTGTACCGGATGTCACATGAAGAAGCCATGCTGGAAGGGGATGTTCCAGCCCCAGCTTCCTGACTTCCCAACCAAATTCCCGAATTCCCAACCCACTGAATCATGAAAAAAATAATGGTTGTGTTAAGATGCTCAGTATCGGGGGTAGTGGGTAACCCAGAAATACAAAACCAAACAGTCCTTTATTCCCCTTCCAGGTTGCTGTGTCTTTCCCTCGAGGCCTTGCTGATTATGTTGAATTGAGAAAAGCACAAGCTTTTCCAGCCCAGATGGTCTGGTGTGTGAATCATGACTCAGCCACCTATAAGCTGTGCATTCAGGTAACACTTTGAACTTCAGCCTTCTCACCTATTGTTGGGCTTTATAAGACTTCCTAGGGGTAGAATGAAGCTTCAAGGAGCCAACCCAATTGGAAGTGACTTGCAGCGTATTTGGCCGTTAGTATATTGTCAGGTCCAAGTTGGGAGTCAAAGAGGCTTAGGAGGCTCACTGGGACAGCTGCCGGTCAACCTTGCAGCCCTGGTGAGGGGAGTTCCCAGCAGTACTTGAGGATGATACATTCTGGGACCTGCTTTCAGGATGTGCTTTTAATACAGCTCATAACTGCTGAGTACCTGCTACAGGTGCCAGACTCTCTCTAACCTCTGTTATCTCTTTTAATATAACTTCCGTAATACTTATTTCTATTTTGCAGATGGGGAAACAGACGCAGAGAAGCTGATGTGGCTTGCCTAAGGACCTATGCTAGCTATGGCGGACTTATGGTAAGAAAGCAGGTTCCTGGACACAAGTCCAATATGATTTGAGGCCATCACTTAGAATTTTCAACATCAGCACAAGGTGGAGAAGATCAGAGAGTCTTCAAAGAGGCATATAATTTAAATTTTAAAGCATTGCAACTGGTGCCTCCTTGAATGACATACGAATATTGAATTCTTTTACAGCTGCAAACGCCAGACGTTTACTCTTTCCAATTGATCGTTCATGGCAAAATAGGCTTAAGTGGCATCTTATTCCTTCCGTTTCCAATTGGAGGTTCTGTTTGGAGCATGTGCGTTCCTCTGTTCTGGAAGTTTTTCTTGACAGAAGCAGAGAGGTTTTTGACAAACAACTTTAATATTCTTTGTGTCTGTGTGGCTGGCTCTAATAATCCTGCAAGCTTACAAGGTCACTGTGAAGATTAAATCTGAGTCATCGGAGGCAGATGTTGACACATCATTATTTAAATCCTGAGCTGCTGAAGGACTCTTATCCCCATGAGCTATGACTCAGTGTCCAAATGAACACCCCACATTCCACACAGCCCGCTGAGCAGGGACTCCTGACTCTGTTGGGGAAACAAGTTTGCCTTTCTCTGTGTGATGACAAAGCCCGTCTTTCTGTTGTACTAGTAGAAGTGTGGTGTAAACGGAATGAGTGTGTTTCAGAAGATCTGCTCTCTCTCTACCACTTGCTGTGGGCTTTGTCTTTTCACCTGTTCTTCAGAGCCCTTTCTTTAATTTGTGCTTACACATTTATTTCTTTATGTAGTAGAGTCTATTATCTTAAGTGTCTAGCTTAATACAATTTTACAAATGTATACTCTAAATAAGCATCATCCAGACCAATGGATGAGACATCTTCACCACCTTTTGTCCCTTTCCAATCAATAACCTCTCAAAGTTATCACTATTCTGACTTCAGACACCATGGATTAGTTTTGTCTGTTCTAGAATTTCATGTAAAAGGAATCAGACGACATGTGCTCTTTCGTAGTTGGCTCTTTCGCTGAGAAAAATGCATATGAGATTTTTTTGTGGTGTTGTGTGTATCGGAAATGTGTTCCTTTTCATTGATGAGTAGTATTCCGTTGTATGGTTTTGTCACAACTTGTTTATCCATTCTTTTGTTCATGGACACCTGGGCTGATTCCAAGCTTTGGCTATTGTGAATACAGTTGCTATAGCTACTTTTGTATACATCTTTTTGTAGACTTACATTTTAATTTCTCTTAAGTAAACACTTAGAAATTATGTATCTTCAACTTTATCAGAAAACACCCAACTGTTCTGACACTTAAATTTTCAGTTTTTTAAAATTTTAATCTTTCTGGAGGGTATCTTATGGTATCTCAATTTAGTTTTAAGTTGCATTTCCTAATGAATAATGATGCTGAGCACTTTTACATTTGCTTATTGACTATTCATAGACCTTTTATTTTTGTGAAGCGCCTATCTAAATATTTCACCTATCATTTTTTATTTTATTTTATTTTATTGGTAGAAGGGATTAAAACATATTTTTCTGGGGAATGAATTGCAGGATTTGAATAGAAAAAAGTGCTGAGTGAGAGAATCATCAAGGGCAGTTATGAAAGCAATGGGTACGGTTGTCACCTTCTTCCCAGTCCAGCCCATGACTGAGTGGAAACCTTTAAGGGTGCCTGATTTAGAACAAAGAGATATAAATGGTAGGGATAATTCTGACATAATCTCTGAGAATTTTGTGAGTGCGCGTGCATACACACACACACACACACACACACACACAGAGCATTATGGAAGGAAGATGAGCTCAAAGGTCGGAAAAACTTCCAATTCTGAGGCCTTGGGAAATATCATGTAAAGGGGGCATAGTCACCCCATACCTGCAGCTCCATAAGGGCAGACATAAAATAGTTTATTGGGGGAGGAAATTCATAAGCAGAGAAGCAGAGTGCAAGCAGTCCTCTGAACTGTCCTATTTCTGCAGTTTGGGCCAGTCTAGAGGTCTGCAGCCCCATGGCCAATTCCAGAAGAGAGGGGTCCTTATATTGATAGGTTTTGGGGAAAGAGAGCGTCTATGCAGCTACATAGCAAGGAGAGCTTCTTGGTGTTATTAAGAAAGAGGAGGCCAGGGAGCCTGGAATTGGGTTGTAGTGCACTATTCTGCCGTTGGGTTGGTAGTGCACCATGCTTCCGTTGAGATCACTCAGTCCTGCTCTTTGCTAAACCATCAAAAATGGGGAGAAAGATGAGCTTTCATGGTTGTTCAAATTTGTCTCTCATAGCAGTTCTTTAGTATCTCTGAGCCTCTATTTCCCCAACTGTAAAATGGGAATAATAACACTTATTCTGAAGAACTATTGTGAACATTAGAAGTAATCATGTGAAATACCAACAGTACCTAAGATCTAGTAAGAGCCCAACAAATATCAGTTTTCTTCACTTGAAGGGAAGAAAATAAAATACTTGTAACCAATGCGGAGTTTTAATGCCCCTAAAGCTCATGTGGCCTAATTTGTGGAGGTGCACATTAGGAAGCATCAGCTTTTCATACTGGAGAAATGTGAGTCTTAAAGAAAAACACCAAAAGCTTTCTTTTTACAATTCTCTTAATAAAAACTGGTGATTTATTATGGGCTGCAAGTTGCTATGGAGACACGGGGGTGCTGAACATGAAGAGAGTTGAAGTAGATATTCTAATATGGACAAGCATAGCTTATATACACTTAAAAAAAGCACTGTGCTTTAGAAACAGGCTTGAGATGTTGTAAAGAGTGTTTTATGGTGTCAATAAAATTTCCTGAGTTTCTCTGTCAGACTGGCCTCTATTTTCTGGGTTACCCGCTTAATCCCCCATTGCGTTTTATTTCTCAATCATAGCTGAGTTTATTTACTTGTTTGTTAATTCTTTCCGTCATCAGTGAATAACTATTGATAGCATCTCTTGTTTTATTTTTCATTTGTCTTTTATTTTCTGGAATGTATGGTGGCATTCTGAGGGACATTCAAAGAGATAAAGCATGTGGTCTTTCCGGGTGATTTCCTGAGAGCAGTAGCAATCCGTGGCTCTGGCTGACTTTCCCCTCTGAATTGGTTTGCATTCAATCACTGTAGTCAGTAATCTCAGTGATCTCAACAACGGGGACCTTTAATATAAAGAATTACTAAGTATGATAAGATAGTATGTGCAAAGATGGAAAAAGAACTCTAAACGTTACCCATGGAATGACAAATGTGAAAGGGGGTGTTTAGAACTTACTGAAGAGGTCTGGTTGCAGCACCCTGGATTTTTTAATTTTTTTGCTGGGTTGTAGGAGCCAGAGCTAGTCCACAGTTACTGGGCAAAGAGCAACAACTGTACGGGGGTGCAAGTGAGCTGAGACTGGGAGTTAGGAATACAGAAGAAATTGGGAGATACCCAACTTCTGTCAGGGAGAGGCTGGGAGCGTGCAGTGCCTGCAGCCAGAGGGCCGCAAGAAGGTGGTCTCTGGGCCTGGGCACAGGCTGTGAGGTCATTTGGGACCTGCCTACTTCAGGCATGCATCGAGGGCAGAGTGCGACAGACAGTGCAGGTGGAACCCCTGCTTCCTGTGATGTCCCGCCAGAGCCTTCTACTGACAAACCTAACATTGTGCTCACTGTAAAGAAGAAATGCTTCAAGAGACCAGTCCGCTGTCACAGAGCAGGTACTGAAGGGTAACTTTGGAACTGAGAGGCAATGAATCAATAATTGTTCCAGCATCTTGGTTGTGGTTAATCTTGTAAACTCCCTTGTTGGCCCTCCTAGGAGGAAGTCTTGGGATGCAACCCTGGGTTGGTCACAGTCACTCGGACCCAGTCCTTTCCTGATGAGAGGTAGTTTATATCCATTTGGGTTACAAACCACAAGGCCATGAGGTTGAGCCCAGCTCTCCATTCTCCAGCTGTGTGACTTTGGATGCTCTTCAGTGATACCCTTGGTAGTTCAGATACCAGTGTGTGCCCAATGGGATTCTAGGAATGATCTCTAAAGTTACAACTTTCCCCGTCATATCATAGGCCCAGCCACCATCTCTGAAAGCAGAGGTCAACACGCTTTTTTGGGAATGAGCAAGGTAGTAAAAATTTTAAACTTTGCAGGCCCTCTGGTCTCTGCTGTGACTATCCATCTTTGTCTTTGTAGGGCAGAAGCATCCATAGGCAACAAGCACATGAGTGGGCATGGCTTCTGTGTGGGGAGGTGTGTCCAGTATTGAGGCTAACTGTGCTGAGACAGGTGTGTCTCCAGGAGCACTCAGCCTCTTATGCTAGACTGGCCTCTCCCTTTCCAGAGGAAATTTTATCTCGGGCCTTATTGACTTGTCCTACTATGGGTCATGGTTGGATCCCCTGAAGACATCCTAATGAACTGTCTTGTCTTTGCATCTGGAGCAGCAGGGGTTGGGGTCTTCGTTGCTTCTGGCCTAGAATGTCCCAGTCTTCTTATTTCATCTTTGTCTTTAAGGTCCAGCTCTGCAAACCCAGGAAAGTGGCAGTTTTTGCAAAGTTACTCAGAGCACAAGATGTTGTTAGACAGCCCTTGCAGTGACGCACTGTGGGAGCCCCATGTTATTCCCTGATAAGGAGCAGCAATGACAACACAACATCAGCAGACCATCCCAGGCTGTGTTGTTTTTTTTTGTTGCTATAGCTACTAAAGGCAGAAGTTGTCACTATAGGCAAAAGATCATGTTATTGTCACCTGTGAATTTTCTCAGCCAGAGAAGATACAGCAAGTTTGAGTCTCTCAGATAATGAATTTAAGGAAAAGTAGGGTGTTTAATAGAGTGAAGCTAATTGCCTCAGTGGTGGTGGTGGGAGGGTGAAGCTCCCCAGACAAACATCTACCAACCTGCCTCTATGCTGGGCTGGTCTGTGAGCCTGGAGTTGTTTGCCCAGCCCACACACTCATAAGGTAGCCATTGCAGCCTAGCATTTTCCTGAGCCCTTTAAAAAAGTTCTATTTAAATTCTGGGTTAGAAGGGTTGATGCTGAG